CTTTGTGTACTTAACGTATTTTTTCAAGATTTATTTATTTATGCATGTAAGAGCCGGGGTGTAGGCCAGAGGTGCGGGGGTGAGAGGATTCATCAGAGACAGAGTGGGGAGAAGAACAGGAGGATCTACTGAAATACACTGCTGAGGGGAGCAGCAGGCGAGACAGGAGAGGTCTGCTGTGTCATGTAGGTTAACTCCCTGCCTGGGAATCAAACTCATGCTGCAGTGGCTGCCAATAGCTTCATAGTGCTGAGACTTGACCCCTTGTGCCACCAGGGAGGCCCCGTATTTTACAAAGAATTAACAAAACTGTTAATTTTCTCCTTTTCCAATTTTTCCCCCAGTATGTTATATTTAAATCATTAGCATTTTGCTTTCTCTGGATCATTTTCTTCTCAGGAAAAATAGATTTTGGGAACTGTTAATCAGTGCAGTCACACTGATTACTTCTGAGTCACACTGAGTAATTCTTTCTTTTGGTCTGTTGATTGCTGTGAATTGAGTAACAAGGTCAGTCTTCATCAGCTGTCTCTGTGGCTGCCATCTTTTCTCTGGCTGCCCTGCCTTGCATCACCCTAACCTCTAGTTGCTTTCCTCTGGAATTAAATAAAGTCCAAAACCTTATCATGGCCCATGAGGCTCTCCATAATCTGCCTCTGCCACATTTGCAGTTGAAGTTCCCATCTCTAAATTAACAATTGTTAATGTCCTTGTGCCTCAGTGCATTCATCTTTAAAACGGGAAAATAACACTGTATTATAGAACTTTTCTAGGGATTAAATGAGTTAATGCGTAAAAAGGGCTCAGAACAGTGCCTGTTGTGTAGAAAGCGCGTAATAAATATTAGTGTCTCCACTCCTTCCCTCTCTGATTCCCCATCCCCTCCCCAAGCTCTCCTTCTTTCAGTCCATTCTCATTGAAAGATCTTTATATGTGTTTTTCCTATGACCTGGAAAGCTCTTTCTCTAGTCTTCATCTAATCCATTCTTACTTATTCTTCAGGTTTCTGTTTAACTGTCACTTCTCAGATAACCCACCATCTAATTCAGACCCCCATGACAGTCTCCCATGACAGAACTTACCATCCTGGCAAAGTCCTGCCACAAAGTTGTCTTCTATTGTGTATTAGTGTGATCACTAGAGACATAGAGTGGTTTTGTGGTGAGTGTCTCTTCATTATTTGCTATTCAGTTTCCAACACCCAGCCCAAACTTGGTACATATTCTTATTTGTCATAACTGTCATGGGAGTCTAAATAGTGTATTTTCAGTATCAATTTCACTCTTGGCTTATTTGTAGGTGCCCTTTCTTGTGATACTTACTTCTCTCTTTTGTTAATATAAATAACTTTTGTTGTTTCCTATTCTCTTTGCAGTACATGCTCACTCTAGAAAATTTCTCACTAGTGGTTTGTTATGTTGTTATGTTCATGTTTTCCCTGTAAGCTATCTGAAACTTTTAGGGAAAAAGTTAGAGATAGAAATACAACAATATATGGAAGTAGGAAAGTAATATAGGTATAATTTATCTACTTAAACAGTTATCTATGATCAAAATTACATTTCCTTAATTATTTAGTTTGCACAGTTGAAAACAGTAATTTGCCAACTTGTGTCAGATGTGGGGAACTGCACTGAATGGCTGCTATTTTTACTTTTTACAGAGCAATGTGAAGTTCTCAGGAAGTACTTATGTCTCTCATGGATTCTGCACAAATAAAAGCTGTTTTATTCAAACAGAACACTAACAACTAACAATAACAAAAAGAATTCTAGCTAAGTGGAAATGAGAAAATTAAAATTTGAAGGGGAAACTAATCCTGGCGCCAAAGGGAATAGTATTCAATACATGAACATTAGTACTGCTCAGAGATAAACACCCTGGCCCATTCGAATGACCAGAAGATTCTTGACTTCTTCAATGTCCCCCTAGGAGCCCAGCAGAGTTTTCCAGCTATTTGTTCTAGTGCTCTCCCTTGAAAAGAGGCGAGCAGAATCCCTGTACCTTCAAATCTAAACTACTCCTTATTGAGCTGTGGGGAGATATGACCCTCCTAGACCTGGTTTCAGCAAATACATGTGGATTGGGGCCTTACTATTCATTAAAACTTAACACTAGCTAAGAACTCTTTGTTCACATAAACAGCTCTTACCCTCAGCTATTAAGACTCCTATTGACTGTTTGAAAAATGTTAATGTGTCACTTCTTAGATTGCCACTTCCTGGCTTTGAAACAATGCTGAAGCAGCAATCATATTCAGAAGTCCAAATTATACACTGTGTTGTAATGTCGACAAAGGAATTTGGATTTTCTTATCTAGTAAAGAGAGGTGAAGGAGCGTTCTCTTGGACATGACATATTCTCAGAAATGTTTTCTATATTGATGTTTTCTATATTATTTTGTAAAATGAGAGATACAATTGATATGAGCATCTGAGTTTAAAAAGAGGTCACCTTTACGAATATTAAGATAATGGTAACTTGTATATAATTTTCTCTATTTAAGTATTATTAAAATGGTATTCACTCATCCCACTGTGACAATAAGGTTAGAAAAGTGATTTCTAAGGATCATGGTTCCTAGCATTTATTTATGAATTATTTACACCAGAAATAATGTTTCATTAAGAATTTGCATGGCCTTTTTAGTTTATAACTATACTTAATTCACAGTTAAATAGTGAGTTGCATAAAAAGAAAACCAAGGTTTATTTGTCTGTTAAATAACTCCTATTTATAGTAGTAGTAAATATTAAATAATAAATAGTAAAAGTAATACAGTGATTAATCATAATTAATTTATTTTAAATGTTTTCATTTCAATACCATCCAACACATTTTTTATTGGCTTTGTGCTTTTAACCTTTAGAGCTATTCGGTCTAATGACTCCCTTCAAATTTTGTCTTATCAAGTAATATGGCAATTTAGCATGTTCACTGAGTAAACATTGCCAAGGCCTAATAAATTCACAGCAACAAAAAAGATATTTAAACAGATAAAAGATTGAAAAATAATGTGGTATACCATTCCTATGTAAAAAACATATTGTCCATACAATTAGTAATTCTTGAGATTTGAGGATCCCTTCACAATCCCCTAACCTCAACATCCATATGGATATGGGCAGAGGCTCAGTCTTCCTCTCTCTCTGTGTCTCGCTCTCTCTGACTCTCTCTCTTGCACATAAACACACATACACTGCATGACATGAATGACCAGGTACAGCCTCAGGGCCAAGAATGTGATGCTTTAGTCTAACTAATTGCAATGGCCAGTTCAAACCCCTTGGCTGAAGAACAGATTTGCAATATTAGATTCAGAGTATCATTCTTCATTAAGATCTCTGGTGATCTTAGCACTAAATTTCAAAGTTGGAAATCTGGGTTAGTGATCTCTGTAGACCTCTTATAAAATGATAAGATTGGACCATTGACCTTTTAGATTAATTTAATTTTTTGATATTTGAAAGTTTTATTATTAGCACGTGATATATTGCCTCTAGACTGGTAATAGTAGCCATAAAGTTAAGAGATTGTCAGTTGGGGTCAAATGAATGTAAGTGTGAGTTTCACCTCTGCCCATTACTGTCTATTTGAATATGAGCATCAATTACCTCTTGGGCTCCAGTTTCCATATTTATAAAATGGGATAATAATCCCTCTCTTCAACTTTTTCTCTGAAGATTAAATGAGATGACATGTGAAAATACTTAGCTCAGTAACCAATAATGGCTATTATTATGAAATGGTAAGAATGACATTGAACTCATATTCAGGGAAACACAAAGACATGGGGAACTTTCTCAGCCTCTGTATTCTTTTCATTATGCAACCTGTTGCTATCCTGAAGTTTCATGTGTGAAATTCAAATCATGGAAAACTTAAAATTTTTTTAAAGATTTATTTATTTATGCCTACAAGAACTGGGGTACAGGCCAGAGGTGTGGGGTTTGAGAGGATTCACCAGAGACAGAGTGGGGAGCAGAACAGGCAGATTGACTGAAATACACTGCTGAGGGGAGCAGCAGACAGGGCAGGAGAGGTCTGCTGTGCCATGTGGGTTGCTCCCTGGCTGGCTGAGGCTCAAACTAGTGCTACAGAGGTTGTGGATAGCTAGATAGTGCTGTGCTTAACCCCTTGCACCACCAAGGAGGCCCAAAACTTAAAATTAAAAAAAAAAAAAAATTACATATACAAATAAAATTGTAAAAATAGTAAATATAGATAAAATTTTAAATTTAAGTTGAAATTAAATATTTAAATTTAAGTAAAATTAGAAAATTAAATTTAAATAAAATTTTAAAAGAATAATTAAAGGTTAAATATAAATTAAAAATTAAATTTAAATAAAATTAATTTTCTTTTAAATAGAGGTTTACAACACTGTGTATTATTTATTTATTTATTTATTTTTAAAGATTTATTTATCCATGCATATAAGAACCAGGGTAGAGATCAGATGTGTGGAAGGGTGAAAGGATTCACCAGAGACAGAGTGGGGAACAGAACAGGCAGACAGACCGAAAACACTGCTGAGGGGAGCAGCAGGGGCGTCAGGAGAGGTCTGCTGTGCCATGTGGGTAGCTCTCTGGCTGGCCAGGATAAACCTGCATTGCAGAGGCTGAGGACAGCTTCACAGCACTGCGCTCAACCACCTGTGCCACCAGGGGAGGCCCCAATGCTGTATTTTATTTAGAGATATAGAAACACACCCTCAGGTGTATGTTACCACAGCAAGACCTCCCCAGCCGCCCTCCAGACACCATCCATAGTCCTCTGCCCTAGTCCACTGTGCCAGTTTCCCACTTTGCTCTCCCCTTTCCACCTCCCCTTTGGTAGCCTCAACTCTCCATGTAGTTGGGTTTGTTATTAATTTAATTTTATCTGGCCGTTTCTTTTGTTTCTCTATTCCACATATAAGAAACGCCTTTCTGACTTTCACTTCGCATGAAACAAAACAAAATTAAAAAACTAAATTCAAATAAATCAATTCATTGCAGGTAACGAAGATGATCACACCCACCCAACCACTTTGCAGGACATAAAAACTGTGACAGAACAAGTGAATCAACATGAAGAAAACTCTGTGCCTCCCCAGCCTGCCAGGAGGACCCAGCTACCTGTTCAGCACCTGGAGGAACCCCAGGAGCCGTCCTTTCACTCGGGAGTCCTGAAGGCAGCGTCCCACCGGGATGTCCGCTCTGAGATCTTCCTGTGGAGCTTTCTGCTGTGGTCTGATACCATAGAAATGGTGCGTGTGGCTGGCCACCCCGCTGTGTACAAGTCAGGCTGGCTGTACCCAGTCTATATATTCAGTTTTATTTCTCTCCTTCGAATTATATTAACTCCCCAAAACCCTCTTCTGAATTCTCTCGGTATACTGCTCCAAGATATACCCTTCATTTTTGTCAGACTTAGTTTAATCATTGTCCTGGGAACTGTCACACCAGTATTGGGCCTTTGTAAAAATGTACTTGTGACTCTCTCTTATGTTTACTTCAATCATTTAACCAAATTCAGAGTTTTTTCTACCTTTGAAATATCTTAATTTTTTAAAGAAAATGTAATATAGTCTAACTTCTTTATTGAGCATGTAATGCACATTTGTAAGTTTTGTTTTGTTTTTTTTTTTTTTCTTTTCTGGGGCATAGGTTTTTATACTTCATAAAGAAATGAAGACTAGATTGTATGGAATAAACCATTTTTAATAATGGTAGCATGTCTGTTTTTAAAAAATATATACAAATGGTGCTAAATATAACCCAGGATCTAGTCTTAAAAGTTGGCCTCCCTGTGTCTCTAAAAAATGTTAGTACTTTTAGTTATGTATACTGCATTTTTTTCCTAAAAACTCTCAATAAAAGTTTTTGAAAAATGAGAACATATTTTACCACTAAGTCCAAGAATGACATTAAATTTAATTTTTAATATACATTTAACCTTTAATTACATTCTTTTTAAATTCTATATAAAGAGCCTAACATGAGTTGATTGGCTAGAATTATTTTTTAGAGAATACATGTGAAATTATTGAATAGCTTTTTTATTATACTTTAAAAAATTGTGAATTGTAATTGTGAGATTTCCTTCAAAGATGAAATTATGTTGTTTATTCCACTGTGGCAATGACTTTTATTTAATTAATTATTTCAGCATAAAAAGTAATACAGTCTAACAGGTATTTGGCTCAGTTTAAAGCTTAGTTCTTTTGCTAGTACTGAAGTAATAGCATAAATATCCTTTGATATAATGAAGTCAAGGTTCATCAGTAATACCTTCATCAAGTTTTATAAGGGGAAGCCATAAACTGAAGATAACCAATTTTAAAGTAAAAGGATATTTTATTTGTGGAATTTGATACTATCATAAAAATAATCATGAAAAAATCCTGTTTAAAATTAAAAGTTCAACTTACAACTCTAACAGCAAGTGCATTAATATTTTGTGTGGATAATATATACATGAATATCTCGATGTGATAAAATTATACAAACAATTATGTGATTCATCTTTGGTGTGTTGGAGTGTTCAGATATTCACAGTAGAGGCTTTTCATTTTGTATGACTTCAGATGCTAGAAAGATTTGTGTAACTTTACAAAGTTACATTAGATTACATATAGAGTAATGACTTCTATAGCCAGTCTGCTCAGTGCTCTGTGGTAATAAATAACTTAAGAATGACTCTCTGAACTTCCTTGCCACCCCATTCTTCACCGTATTGCCCAATTGCATTTGCCCCTTAAGTTTTATGATTTTTCTTCTCCTTTTAAGAGGTTTATTTATAGTTGTTAAAAGTTTAACTTCTGACTTTTTGACTTAGGCAAATTCTTTGACCATTGTAAACCCTGGTTTTCATATCTAAGAGATATAGAGTATAATATCTAAGAGTATAATAATAGTACAAAAGAGTACTTTAATAGGGTTGACAGGTTTACATGGGAAATGAAGGAACTTTCTTATCTCATTATCAGACAAATACTAACTTTTATAATTATACTAAATCCTGAGAAACAAGTAGCTAAATACATTGTCTTCGCTTTCCTGTTTTATTCCTTTTGTAGTTGATTTGTAATATTTCTATATATGAAAATAGCTTACATAAATTTACATTTATCTTTATGTTAGAATTTATAGAAAGAACAGTACTTAAACTGAAAAATGTTACTTATTTGAATTTAAAATGTATTTTGCAGCTAATATTTGAGTATGGATGTGCCTGATATTTGAGAAAGTTAAAATACTTTACACAAATAATGAAGGCATGGACAGAAGATTACCTGGAGGGTGGGGGGAGTGTTAAGTACCTAATTTAATTTATTTTGATATTTTATTTTAAGTGTGTTCATGTATGTATAAAATTCACATCTTTGGTCCTAAATAAGTTTTGTAGCAAATTATGTTAATGAAACATTGATATTCTATGTGTGATTAAAAGATGTGTTATTAAAATTATATTGCAGTTTTCGTAGTTTCTATTCACTGTGGGTCCTGGGGTTGATATGAACTTACTGTCCTTATGAAAGTTTACTTTCCTGCTACATGAAATTATACATACAAAAGCTGGCAGGTATTTTAGTCCAAGTAAAACCCAGCTGATAATTCTGTCTTTTAGGCTCTAATAAAGTTAATTATATGACAGGTATATTTATAAAAATTCATGTATGATCAGACTACTAATGTAAAGTTAAATATTTTTCTAATTAAGTTAAAATATCTTTAATAGACATTTAAGTGCTTTTTCTTTCTAAAAGTTAATGTGAAGATAAAATATGTAAATGTTATAATCTTGTTCTTTTTAGGACCTCATTTCACTGAATGACAATTGTAAATAAGGTGTAAGAAAGGAAAGGGAAATTTTTTGAATACCTACTATGTACTGGGCACAATGCCATTTGCTTAACAAAAGCTTATCTTATGCAGTAGATGAACAAGCAGGACTTTACTTAGTGAATACCTCAAAAGTTATTAAAAATTATTTTTAAAATAATTAAAATATAAATTAAAAATATATTGAATTAAATTTTCAAAAAGAATAATACACTTTAGAAACTAAAATACTTAAGAAACTAAAGTACTTAAAATACTTAAACACTGTGGAGAAGGATATGGTCAATAATGAATAAAAAATACATGAAATATTCACAGGTGAAGCCATCTTAGTTTACAAAGTGGGTATTTTTACATGGAAATGAAACATCTGTGTTTAACTATATCATTTGCTGTGAAGTCTTTTTTGTTATGGGATAGGTTTACTCGAGTTTTGGTTCTGGGATGGCTGTCTCTCTGTTATCTTTCCAGTTCTTTTAGTAATCTGATGCAAACAACAGTTACAAGATGAAAAAAAGTGAAACATAAAGACATGCATCTGTACACATGGAAATATCCAAAACCAAGTCCACCTGCATTAGAATGATGTTTCAGTGCCTCACAAAGAGACATTAACCCATGAACTCCAAATGAAGCGAGTCCATATATTTATCAGGATGCTGTGCATGACTATGGTGCCTTATGGAGGGAATGCTTTAGGTTGAGTAGTATACAATCTGTACATCCTATGCAGTGATCCTGAGATAATGAAACCAAAACACTTGTCTTTTTATTTTATTTTTAAATTTTTTAAAGATTTATTTATTTATGCATACAAGAGCCGGGGTGCAGGCCAGAGATGCGGGGGTTGAGAGGATTCACCAGATCTAGGGGGGAGCAGAATAGGCAGACTAACTGAAATACACTGCTGAGGGGAGCAGACACAGGAGAGGTCTGCTGCACCATGTGGGTCACCTCCCTGGCCGGGGATCGAACTCGTGCTGCATTGGCTGCAGATAGCTTCATAGTGCTGTCTTAACCCCTTGCACACCAGGGAGGCCCAACACCTGTCTTTTTAGATTTCTAAAACTTTTAAAAATTCCCATACTAGTGCAAACTGGTCCAACCATTATGAAAAGCTGTGTGGAGAGTCCTCAAACTACCGAAAATGAAGCTTCCATATGACCCAGCAATTCTACTCCCAGGGATCTACCCAAAGGACACAAAAGCATTAATTCCAAACTATATCTACACCCCTATGTTTACTGCAGAACTATTTACAATAGGCAAGATATGGAAACAACCTAAATGCCCAAAAATTGATGACTTGTTCAAGAAGATGTGGTATGTATACACAATGGAATATTAGCCATCAAAACAGATAAACTCATGCCATTTGCCATCAACATGGATGGAGCTGGAAGGATCATGCTCAGTGAAATAAGCCAGAAAGAAAGAGAAAAGTACCGGATGGTTCCACTGATAGGAGGAATGTAGGGGAACCAAATAAGGGATCAGGAAAAAAAAAATTATAATAAATTAAAAAACAAAATTAACAGGCAACTATAAATAAGAGAGATTCTGCAGGGGAGGCATAAGGGAAGGGAGAAAGGATCCAAAAAAAAGGAGGGAAGAGCACAAGGGACTATGGTGATAATGCAAGGGTGAATTGGTGGTGGGAATTTTATGGGGACTACACCTGAGAGGAGAAAGCATACATTATACAAAAAGGAAGAGTGGTATAAAATATATATAAAATAAAATATAAACACAAAATAAAATGAAAATTCCCATGCTTATTCTGTATTTTAAAATATTTCATTAACTCACTCATTTAACAAATTTGAGTACCTATCATAGACTAGGTATGGCTTATATGATTAAGCAATTCACAAAAAATGCCTTAGTAAATCGGAAAAAATTGCTTTAAAAAGTAGTTTAAGTCATTTCCAGTGTTCACTTTTGCATATAGAGAGTTTGGAAGTTTATAATAAGTATAAAACTGAACAGGATGAAAAGTCAGTCTGTTTAGGCAAACTACTGCCCCTAAGCTTGGAGAGAGACAGGTGGATACTGGGGGTTGAAGTTTGCTGGAATATAGACTCGCCAGCTGAAATTTACACAGGACTAGGAAACCCTGAACTGTAATTGATGGACTTCTGGAGACTTAGTGGGAATAATCTTGAGTTGAAAATTGCAAGTTGACCCAGTCATAGGGTTTCCCACAAAACTGAGATTTCCCTCTAGAAGCTCACCCAGATTCTCGCTTTTTTTTTTTTTTAATAGAGGCATGTTTTATTTATTTATTTATTTTATTTGTTTGTTTGTTTTGTTTATACAAGCACTGGGTACAGTCAGAAGCGCGGGAGGGTGAGAGAATTCACCAGAGCCAGAGCTGGGAAGCTCACCCAGATTCCTCATAGAAAATATTGGAGAACAATCCTCTCAGACTTTCATTAGGGAAAGGAGAAATGAAACATTTAAAAATGTGGGGCCTCCCTGGTGGCGCAGATGTTAAAGTCTCAGTGCTATCAAGCTATCACTAAACACTGTGGCATTGAGTTTGATCACCAGCCAGGGAGCTGACCCACATGGTGCAGCAGACCTCTCCTGTCTCACCTGCTGCTCCCCTCAGCAGTATATTTCAGTAGATCTGCCTGTTCTGCTCCCCACTCTGTCTCTGGTGAATCCTCTTACCCCCCTCCCCCGCACCTCTGGCTTTTACCCCAGTTCTTGTATGAATAAATAAATAAATCTTAAAAGCAAAAAAGAAACATTTTAAAATGCCTTAGAGTGTCCTGTTCTTAACAAAGCTTGCCCTCAGGGAAACCTAGTTAATCAGAGCCTAACTTGAAGATATTCCATGAACATGGGACAATTTTCCATTTATTTAGGTCTTCCTCCATGCCTTTCAGCAATGGGTTCTAGTTTTCATTGTTTAAGTCTTTCACCTGCATGGCTGAATTTATTCCTAAGTATCCATCCTTTTTGATGCTATTGTAAATGGAATTTAAAAGTGGTGAGAGCAATTAAAAACAGCAATCAGCTTCAGAACAAACAATATATTTGGAGGACAAGGTCTTCTTTGTTCATCCTGGTTCTAACAAGTTGTACCAGGAACTCAGGCAGCTCCTCTCACTGCTTTCTGCCGCAGAGATGAAGATGGTAGGAGCTCCTGCAAAGGAAAGAATGACATTCACTGAAACTCACCAGCCTCTTCATCAAACTCTCCCTGGATGCTGCAGTTTTCTACTAGGATGCAGACTTCCAAAACAGTTGCTTTAAATAGTTCCTATCAGTTCAGCAGCTGTTTAGGTAGAATGATGGATTCCTGCACTTCCTACTCCACCATTTTGTCAAATCACTCCCCCAAGAGCTGAATTTCTTTTATTTTGGTCACCTTTTCTAGCCTGATAAATCTTCGTTTCAGTTAAGTTCTAAGTGATAGGATAAATTCTTTGTGGGACAGTTTGTTTCAAAATCACAGAGTTGACCACTGATATTGGTTGGTCATATAACACATTTGTGTAATAATAGTAAAAACAACAGCAACAAAAAAGCCACACACACACACACACACACACACACACACACACCTGAATGTGAGTTTTAAGAAAATTCAATTAAATTTCATTTCTTTCTTAAATTCAATCCTGGACTAGCATTTCCCCTCCACCACTTAAGCAGCTGGAGCTGTTGGAAAGACAGGTGATTTTCCTAACTGCCAAAAGTTGCTGCCTGTGGGCAGCCCCGCCCTCGGGTGCCTGCCAGGTTAATGGTCCAATCAGTCAGGTATAAACTAGGGTGAGGGGATCCTGAAAGAGGATATAAGGCAGGGCAGCAGCCATCTTGAGACTCACGGACTCCCAGACTTCTCGCATTCTATTTCTGGCTTCTGAGGAAAGAAGAAAGAAGCATCCAGCAACTGACCTCAGAAGAGAGAAGCCAAAGAATTTTGCAGTGACCTGTTGACTAAAACTGCCTCTGGCCCTGCCACTGCCACTGTCGGAAAAGAGCACCAATAGCCCTGGGCCTCGGGCCTCAAAGAGCTGTTGATGGGATCATCTGGCATGGCCTCCTGGTGCTGCCGCCATTGCTGTCTGGCCCAGCATCCCGTGCTGTTCATCTGGACCTGCAGTGCAGGCTGCTGCAGTGAGAGCTCAGTGGCTGTGCCTGTGAGTGCCTTCAGCTGCCACTGAGAGTTAGATCCCTGGCTACCGCCTCCGGCTGCCATGGCTCCAGGCCCTTGCTGGCCGGTCTGTGCCATCTTGCATGAGCAGCCTTTTGTTTGGGGCTTCTGGACACTAGGTAAGACAGCCAGTCACCTGTGACCTTAGAAACTCTTCCTTTGCTGTTAAATAAACCATGTTGTTGTTGTCCCCTGAGCCTGAGTGGTCTTGCAATTGTGTGTGGGGGTGAAAACCCACAGATAGTGACCTGTCCTTTATTGGGCATTGCCCTTGAGTGGCTAGAGAGCCCCTATAGGCCTGTTTCAAATTGATATACATCCAAATTAAGCAGAGCTATTTAATTTCTATAACTTAATTTAGCTTTAAAACTATCATGTCATAAATGACGCATATAAAATTTTTTTTTCCTGGATAAATCAAGAAGCAATGTTTCAGAAATAAACTTTGATGTTAGTGACCAACTTTTGTTATCAATCAAGCATTGGTTGAATGAAAAAGAAACATTTTGTTATATTTCCTACATTTTCATTATCTTTTCCTTCTGCCTGTCAGAATAATCTTAAATTTATAATGTTAAAAGAAACCAGTAAGAGAATTATACCACATTTCTTAGGAAGCAGAGTACAGTTTTATCACCAAGATGGTGACTCTTTGGAGTTTTCCCTTGAAAATTGAATTATTCATTTAAAATTTTAAAAACCCAATGTTTCCAGCAACTTCTTTATGAATTTCTAACATTTATCAGTTGTGAGCCACTGTCTAATTACTAATATCTGCTTCAAAATGTCCTTAATTCATGTTTTACTTCTGAAAAATAACCAAGTACATTTTTAGGGGTTACTATTGAGCTCAATGAAAGCTGTTACCATTTTTAAAAAATAAAGAATTCCACCCCTCATGAAATGAATATACATCTCATTGAACAAACCATCGGATTTTCTCCTAGCAAGGGGAACCCTTCCAAACTTAAAGAGGATCACTAAAACTGAGGCTGGGCAACTTTTTATCGCAAATCTCTTGCCATTGTTTTCTCTGGATTTCTAGGAAATTTTCTAGAGAAAGACTTTTAAAACTTTCCCCCCCAAATTCCCTTTCAGATTTAGCTTCTCTCACTTTTCTTCTAACAAAAGGAACAAAAAACTTCTTGTGAACTGTTTCTTTGAAATTTTCCAAAAGAAGAAACTAAACACTAAATGAAGAGAATGCTGGGGATCAGTTTTAAGAAAATGTTTCTACCCTTAAACTGTCCTTTTTTTTTTTTTTGCCCCTGCCTCGTCTGTCATCGAGACTAGGGGATGTCTGCTGATGCACCCCTGATGCTGCTGCTTCCCAGAAGCAACCTCCGTTTTCCTGCCCAGGTAATGGCCTCCAGCCTGTTCTCCACATAGTCCTGTGTGAGAGCTGAGGTCTCTGGCTGTTTCACTTCTGTTCTTCCCACTCGGCCAGCCCTGGCTCCTCATGTCTCACCATGACCCTCCCTCCTTACCTCCTCTGCCCTCTCCCACATGTTCCTTTCTCCTCTTCCTCTGTGTCTGCTCTACTTGGTAAGTTAGCTTACAAAGCAAAGTTGTAACTTTGAATTCCTGTTTTTCCAGCTATCCTCATGTGACAGGATATCTCCTTATTGGAGGTTTTCCCTAATTTCAGAAGCCCTTTAAAAAGTGAGCACTTCCTCCACCCTTCTTTTCAACAGGGCAGCTCTGAGAAGTGAGTAGGTGGCAGGGTGATCCAGTGCCTTCATTGTTTTGGCTCTTTTATTCCCTTCACTCCCTCAGTGGAAGAAACGGGACAACTCTGGGCCATGAGGCTGGCCGCGCCCCTGGTTTTCCTGGCTCTCATTCGGGTTGCTGTGCAGCTATTGGGTAAGTCAGCTCTGATGTGGAAGCTTTCTGTTTGGGGCCTGGGACCTGTGGCATACCTCCCCTTTGAGGGTCAGTGTTAATGGCTTCTTTTCAACACCTGTGAGGGGAGGCAGACTTCCCTGCACCCCGGCTCAGAGGAAACATGTTGCCTCTGCTTGGCTGCCAGTTTGAAAGCTGGAGTCTTGGAAGAAGGCTGCTTCTCAGGTCAAAGTGTTAGGGGAAAAAAGATGTCCTAAAGCTAATTCCATACAGGCTTTGCCGGACCCCCATCTTCCTCCTGATTTCTCCTGAGCTTCCGTGCTTTATACTTACAGGGATTTCTTCTATGGTGTGTTCATTCTAGTTTTTAATTTGCATTATTTCTATCTACCCACAACTAATATCCTCCAAGGATCTTTGAGGGTTTTCATCCAAGCACAGGATGAGAGAGTGCCTCCAAAGAGGCTTCTGTGAGATTTCCATAGCTTGTCCCTAGGTGTTTTTTTTTTTTTTCTGTGAACTACTTTAAACATTCATATTTTTTATTGCTAGCAAGGTCATCCTTGTCTGTATTCTTTGAGTTGTTCAAACTGATTCCTGTTTGTCCTTTCTCCTCTTTCTTCTTCTTTTTTTTTTTCTTTCTTTCTTTTTTTTTCCTGGAGGCTTGTGTTTACCTGTGAAGAATAGATTCAGAGCTTTTCAAATTCTTGGATATGATCAACACTCTCTTTCTCTAGACCCAACCTGCTGAAACTTTGGGATTTAAAAATGTATGCCTACATAATGTGTCTAATTGTACCTGTAAGACACATTCTCTTTTCAGAAGAGATGGAAAGAATTTCAACTTTGAATTTTGGTTCCTGGTCCCACCTCATTTCTCTCAAATCAGTAAATACTGGCAGAGCATAGTCTGCTCAAAGCCTCCATGCTTTGCTGGAAACTGTGGAAGCAGGGCTAGGAGGATAAATCAGAAACCTCCACTAGAAACATGCTTCCCAGGGAGAGACCATTTGGACACAAAGTTGATTTACTGATATAATGAGCCCTAAGAAGCAGTAATTGAAAACACCACCACCACCACCACCACCACCACCACCACCACCACCACCACCACAAGGAAAGGCAGCATTTGCTCTCTGCCTCTGCCAGCAAGTTACTTATTTTCCAAGTCTATAAAATGGGTAGCATAATGTTACCTGCTCTCTCCATTGTTGCAAAGATTCAGTGAGTTACAATTTGTAAAAAGTTTAGAACATTTATAAACCATAGTATTTGCTTTGAAAAAGCAGTGACATCCCTCCCCCATCTCCATGGTAATTAATTGTTCCATCAGAATAGTATGTGAAGCATTTAAGGGAAAGATTTACTGCTAAATAATGCTGAGAAAAGATTCCTGGAACCTGGGGATGTATTTTGTATTATTCTTGGTCACAAAGCTTATCTCTCAGTGAGTAATAGGTGTTGGAAGAGGAACTGCTTAACCTGGGTCTGGAAAGACTGACGAGTGGGTTTAGACATTATCACTATTTATCCAGAAAAATCTGTCTTGTGCAAGAGGGTTTAATGTATCTTCATGCCCCCAAAGGTTAAAACTAAGACCAGTAGGGGCCTCCCTGGTGGCGCAGCGGTTGAGCACTGGGTTGCGAAGCTGCCCGCAGCCTCTGCAGCGCCGGTTCGATCCCCGGCTGCTCCCCGGCCACCGGAGGAGGGTCCTGCATGACACGCAGACCTCTCCTGCCGCCTGCTGCTCCCCTCAGCAGTGTACTTGGGTCCTTCTGCCTGCTCTGCTCCCCGCTCTGGCTCTGGTGAATTCTCTCACCCTCCCGCGCTTCTGACTGTACCCAGTGCATGTATAAATAAATAAATAAATCTTAAAAACAAAACAAAACAAAACTAAGACCAGTAAAGATCTTTTAAGGGTTATGTTGTCTCAAATAAGTCTGTTCAGGGGTCAGTAAAGGTCTTCAAACAGAAGTTGGATGAACAATTCAAGGACTGTGCATGAGACCTGGCTTTTATCCCAGCACAGTCCAATAGAAACAATTAGACACACTATGTAGGCACATTAAACAAATTACAAGGCTACAGATGACATTGATTTTATGAATACACTTTGTCTGACTTAATCAAAATAGTATTGGTTAGTATTAATCAATACAAAGCCTTGTGATATTTTTACATTTTTTTAAATTAAAATTTCAAAATCCAGGCTATATTTGACACTTGCAGCATGTCTCAGTTCAGACTGACCACATGATAAGCATGCAACAGCCCCCTGGATCTAATGGCCTCCCTGTAGGCAGCACAGATGCAGCCCCCACACCCTGTTTCTCAAACTGACCTTTAATGATGTTGGGCAAATAGAGTTTCTCAATTTGCATAGGAATTTTTTGTTCCTGGAGACAGCGGGGTGCTTTACTCTGATGAATGACATCCTCTTCACAGGCACAAATATGGAAGAAGCAGGAAAGTGCTGAGGGTCTATTTACTAAAAGAAAAAAAACCAAATAAATAGAAACATAGGTAAGAGATGCCCTTCCAGAATTATTATTTTTTAATTTAAGGTTCTAATATTCTTTTATGTTTTCATGGCCTAAGCACACATGAGCAGAGGTGTCTGGATAAAAGCTTAGCAGTGGATTATAGGATATTTGAATCCCTAGTACCCCTCCTCCCTGGCATCTTCCTACCCATTAAGACACAGAGGAAGCTCTTCCTACTTCCACTGGTTCATTTCTTTCTTTCTTTTTTTTAATATTCAAAAGGGCAGATTTATTAAAAAAAGGGAAGGGATTCAAGGATGCTTGCATATACACAAGCAGGCAGGAAGAGCTGCCCCTGAAAGGGACAGGATTGTTGACAGAGAGGCCTGCACAGTCACAGGCGGGTGGCCTTGGGAGGAGAGCTGCCTCTGCTGCTTTGCAAAGGGAGAAGGTTGGTGACGAGAAACACCCACATAGTTGAAGGCTGGCAGGAGAGCTGCTGCCTGGTTCATTTCTTTTTAATCTTGAACCCTTTCTTCCACCTTCCCCAGAGATCCCACATCACAGTACCATGAACATCCAATGTTTAGACCTCAGTGAGAGATATAAATGATAGTAGAGATACAGGAAGAGTTGCTCAGACAAAAAAGGTTAATTTGGGCAGTTTCGCTCACAGGCAATGGTGTGTGGGTAAACTTAAACAATTAGCTCTGAGAAGGGAAAAACAAAACAAAACACTGATTCCTTAGTGATTTCCACCACAGTTGGTTTCAAACTACCAACCTGCAGCCCCTGGGAAGAAATGCCAACAGTATCTGATGTGAGTGGGGGAAAAATACAGTGAATTTGATCTCTAGCATAGTCCATGTATCCCTGACCTCTGTGTTATAGGCAAGAAAAGTTAAGTTTATGAGAACTTAAGTGATCTTTTCTGGGTCTCACAATGAGTTAGTGGCACAGCTGGCTCAGCACTCCGGAGTCCTGAACTCCAGTCTTCTTTCTATTAAACAGAAGCAATGCATCTTTGTTGAATGACTGACTGGTTGGATAACAATGTAAAATTTCTTCAAGGAATAATTCCCTGGGGCTGTTCCCGTAACTAGCTTTGATTTTCACAAAATTTTCTTACTTCTACTTTGTAAAATTTTCTAATTTCATTTCTCCCTTCATATGGATGACTTACTTTTAGATATCATATTTAAGACATAGCTTTGCAATTGTTAAGCAACCCAAGTTCTCTTTTTCAATTGCTTTCATATTTGCCTATTTTCCTTGTTGCTGTTCCAAATGATACTGACTTTTTCTAGAATTTGGAGATGGAGATCGTGTATATGTAAGATATTGCAGATATAGGTAAAACAGTTGCTTGTTTACATCATATTTGGTGCTTGCTGAGGGTGTTGGGCCTGATTTCTAGATAGAGTCATCATTTGTTAAACGTGAACTTAAAAGTCGAAAGTGTTACAGAGCAGCCCCGATATAAAACGGGTTGCCTGGCTGTGGGTACTCACCTGCGCTTAAAAGGGGCTTATTAACACTCCACTACAGGCACACACAAAAGGTTAATAAAAGGTTTATTTACAAGGGAAAGGGAAATGAGGAAATGTACAACTCAGGGAGAAAATAGGGAAATAAAGTCTTTAATGTGTCCTACCTGATCTGCCCACCTGGAAACCCAATGGCACTCTGAGAACTGGTCCAGGCTGTGAGCTGGCTGACAGCCAAAAAAAGGACACCCCCCCCCCCAAAAGCCCACGTGTCTGGTTTTATACCAAACCTGGCTGCTTAACCCCACCCTCAGGTTCCAGCCACCTTCCCTTTGGTGGTGATGGGATTTGTCTTTCCCAATGTCCTAATGGCTTTGGTCTGGAGTAGGGGGTGGAGTCCACAAAGCCTGTATGGAATTAGCTTTAGGACATCCTTTTCCCCCTAACAAAAGTGGTTAGCTTCACTTAAAAACAAGACCCTGTCTTCACAAAGGGCTTGGAGATCATAGGTATCCTTTGACACGCATATCCTATAACCTGGTTTCTGAGGCTGAATCTTGAGTCATCAGGGGAGGACCAAGAGGTCACACCAGCAGCCACAGAAGCAGTTGAATGAAAAGAAAGTGGCTTCTGAAGTAGAGCCTATCTACAAAGCATGGTGGTGGGGTGGGGGTTGGGGGGAACATGTAAAACTAATGTCAAAATGAGAACAGGATTTTCATTTGGCCTCTTAGTGGCCATCAAGAAGTGTTTACAGGAAAAAAAATCATATGATTAGGTTGGTCCATAGAGATTAGCAGAAATTAGGGGGAGAAAAATGAAAGTAGAAGGTGATAAGAAGGCAGTGTCCTTTCAAAAAAGAATTGAAATAGAATAGGAAGAAGCAAGCTTCTTAAGACAATTTCTCCAATTACAGACTAAGTAAAGGTCACAGTGCAATTTCAGGTCCTTAATCACCTTGATTAATCACTCCTAGATCTCCACCAGGACCCTGTGAGGGGATGGGTCTATGCTACTATTACCCTTGACTAGATGAGAACACTAGGCTCAG